ATTGCTTTGACACCCATGAATATATACTGCATTGCTATTCCTTTCCTATATTTTTCTCCTCCCTCTCCATATAGGTTTTAACCTATAAACTAATACACACTCAGCATTTCCTCTCCCCCACAATCTAAATGCTCACAGAAAAGCAGAATCTGTAGAAAACAGAGGTCAGATTCTTTCTGAGGCCTCTACTGACTTTCTGTAAGCCCAGGCATATAGGCACATATGGTGCTTGCTTCCTGCTATAATTTTATTGCTTCATTTGAGATTATGTATTAAACTAAGGCCAGGAAATGGGTTTTTCTTTTCTTTCTCCAGAGACAGAAGTGTGACCATTAAGCTATCTTTAGCTTATCTTTAGGCACCATATGCAGGGTTTATAAAAAGACATCTGCTGCTAAATAAAAAAAACCCAAACCTCAATCTGTAGGACATTTAGTCATATACACATTTTTTTGATTGCTCATCTGGAAAACACAAAACAAAACAAAACAAAACAACAGGAACACATACTAATTGCTAGTAAAGAGCACTGAACTCTCTGTACATAACAAAAGAAAGAAATGGAAAAAATCCAACAGGAGATATTCCCCTAGCTCACTGCCATTTCACTCTTTGGTGTGTGTCTGTGAGAAGATTTGAAGCATGCATGAAAAAGTGAAAGCAAAGAAAAGGATAAGTATGTGAAATGGCAGATATGCAAATTAGTTTGATTTAATTATTTCACAATGCATACATATATCAAAACATCACATTGTATCCCACAAATATATACAATTTTTAATATGTCAATTAAAAATAAATAGGTTCAAAAGAAAAGGTAGAAGCAGTACGTTTGAAACTTTTACATTGGGAATTTAATACCATGATTGAAAATTGGATGCTTTGGTGGAGAGATTTTAATATGAAAAGATAGTCAATGAAGGACTACTGTATTTGCATGAGCCATTTCCCAGGTTTAGTGTGCTAAGTAGCATGGGCTATCACAATCTATATACACTCCATGTGTAAGCATGAAATATTGCCCTCTGGTTAAAGCTGGTCATATGGAGAGAAACTGGGATTGCCAATCATCAGTGGGATGATTTTTCCCTGCTGATTTTGTTTCTGTGTAGGTGTGGAATGATGTAAATAAATATTTCAGGCAGCAGAAAAGCTCAAGTAATACAAAATATGGGATTTTTTTTCTGGAAGCGTTAGCCATTTTTATTACATTGATTTTTCTTAAATATCTTTAAAAGGAAAAATACTGTAGATGTTTGCTTCAAATGTAATCAGGTTTTAGTTTCATTTTTATAGATTTAAAGTAATGCAGGGATCTGGGGCAGCATACACAGCCTTCAGATAAAACATTTCTTTTAAATCCACGAATCATTCCCCCTGCAGATACTGCACATCAGGATATAATCTTGGCTTGTTAATGTACAGAAAGAAGAACATTGCCATGATGAAGTAGAGGGTCACCAAAATGTTGTCTGTCTGTCTGTCTGTCTGTCTCTCTCTCTCTCTCTCTTTGGTACCAGGCCTTGAACCCAGAGGTGTTTAACCACTGAGCCACATCCCTACTACTTTATATTGAGACAAGGTTTTGCTAATTTGCTTCACGCCTCTCTAAGTTGCTGAGGCAGGTTATGAACTGGCAATCCTCCTGCCTCATCCTTCAGAGCTGCTGGGATTATAGGTGTGCATCACTACACCCAGCCATCTCTTGACCTTAATAAAAATTATAGTTTATTAATGCTCCTTATTAGGAAGTATTTTAACTTTTGTGGGAAATTGTTCTGGATAAGTTTTCTATTAAATTCCATCTCAGTAGGTGCTACCTGCCATGGATGAAAGTCATGTGACTCAATTTGTCAATCTTGGGGTGCAACTGCATTATTTTTCCAAGTATGGTTTTATGCTTACCTGCTTCAGAAATGACCAAGTTGAATTAATTATGTGCTCTAGCATTTAAATACTGCTTCCTAGTTTTAAAATAATTTATTACTACAGAATCACCTATTTGCCTCGTGTGAAGAAACCTAACTGAAAACTGGAAAATGTAACTGTGGTCTTTTTATGGAGAAATAGATAGTAAGATTCCTGAATACTATATTGATCATTACTCTAATTAACAAGACGTGGTCTTATGATCTTATGGTCTTATGGATGGCAAATTAACATTTTATTATGATTTAGTCCAAAATTTTACCAAATAATATGCCATGTCAGGAACTTCTTTCATTGTTGTTGACAATAAGAGTCACATTTTGTTATTTAAATTATCTTATGACTAGGATGAAGTTTTTCCCAGCATTACTAAATATTTGGTATAAGCTCTTTCCATTTTGCTTTCTCACCTATTAGCATTGTACTGCTAAAGGAACTGTTAGGATTATTTTGTTGTTAATTTATTGGTGGAAGTTAGTTTTGATAAAATAAGTAAATGCATTGGCTATGTAAATGCACTTTTTACAGCTTTGAAACATTTGCACATTTAGATAAGTGAGAGAAATTTGACGAAGGAATCACTAAAATCAAACTGAATTTTTCCTTGTTCAGGCCTGGCATTCAATAATTCTGTTCATGGCTTTATGCTGGAGTATAAATTTACAACAAATAGTAGGGTTGTTAAATTATGGGATCATAAACACAATAGGAAGAGAAACTGAGTGTATTCTGACAAAGTTACTGAGGAGGAATTATGTGTCAATAAATAATTCAAAAGAAAATGTGGATTCCTTTTGGTTTATTCACAAAAATACAGATTCAGGTTTTATATCTTTATCCGATAGTGAATACCAAACAACTCCATTATTCTCAGCTCATATATTTAAGCATTTCCTACAGATTTTATTAATTTCAGCTTTCCACTAATTACATTTTTCCTGCCACACTCTATGCCTAAACTTTTAGGAACTGCACTAGGGCTCCTTTGGATGTCCATTTCCCCAACTTTGTGTGTATGTTACAGATTTCTGGTCTTGGATAGTTCTTCTGTTGCTTGAGTGATTTTTCTCCTAAACTGATGTAAAATCAGCAGGCTTCCCTTGATGGCATCTCCTTCATTTTCTCAACAAACTGATACTAGGGATAAATGGCAAATACACATTCCTTTTTATGCCAGAGTTGCCAAGATGGAGTGATTACCCCCACATGTCTTTCCTCCTACCTCCCCACTCCTTTTCCCTTTCTCTGTATCACCAAGCAAAAATTCCAGATACATTTCTGTAATTCTAGACCTTACGTGAGATCTCTGTGGTTTTGAGTCTCTGCTTTTCTTACTTTTGACTTGGGAAATTCCATCAAATGCAGTTTTTCCACTATGAAACTATTCGTTAGCAATTTGTAAATTGCAAGGCACATTTACTTTCTCAGGTTTCTTTCCTTTAGAGTATATTGTTTGGCTATTCTCAGGTATGTTCATGCACAGGGAGTAAATAGTAGGGTAAGATAATTTTTAGGGTTTCTTGCTGACAGCTATAAGAGCCCTTGGCCTACTAAACCCCAAAAAAACCACAGCACAGGGTCTGCCAAGGCATTTTAATGTGTCTCATATGTGTCAGGCAGATTGTAAAAGGTGGTATGCATGTGTACAGACACGTGTGCTAAATGTGCATACATATGTCTATGTACATATGTGTATGTGTATATGTGTGCTATAGGTGTGTTCTACACACATGTATGTGTGCATATTTGCATATCTGTGTATCCGTGCTTGTGTGTATGTGTTGTGCGTGTTTGTGTATGTGAAATAGAACCAGTGGGTCATTACCAGTTTCACATTGCCATCCATAGTCCTGGGAGGTATCATGTCAACTGCCATGTTGATTCTGGGACAGCAAGCAAAGGTAATTTTGGCAAGATGTTAATTTAAAGAATAAATATTTGAAAGACTGAGCCAAACATGTTCAGGATTTATCCTGGAAAACTAAGGATATTGTTTTGACAGAGAAATTTATATTTTTTCCTCAAGAATAATCCTGGAATAGAAAATGGAAATGGGTTATCTTTGTCATTTTCTAGGAATTAGACAAAGTACTTAGTAGATCCCAATGAATAAAGCTCTCAAACCTTACATCAGATGCTACAAAGTGGGACTAATATTCCTTCATCTCAGTAGAAGTCTTCCCTTATCATGGATGGGCAGAGGGTGGTTTAAGTGGCACTTTTGAGTCCTTTGTACTTCAGGGAAGGCCAGGCAATGATTCTCTCTGGCTTGCCATAGGTCAAACCCAAGTGGATGCCATTGTGCCTAAAGTTATACCAGAAGCAGCGCCAACTGGTAAAGGTAGAGCCATTTGTTCTCCAGCTTCTGCTATAACCTATACTATATCTAGCTTCTGACTAGTAATCAAGAGAACTGGGATTCTATTTGCTTATCTGTGTCCAAGACACATCTGTGTTTAAGTGCATCCATCTGTCTATGGCCATGATTTTTTACTTGCTCACTACAGTATTATCAAGATAAATGTGATTTATTCTCTTGTTTGTTGGAGAGTCAGCCACTACCAGTGTGTGCAAGTAAGTATGCCTGGTGTACACATTTCAGAATAGAACTTACTTGAGAGCAGCTTTCCAAGGAGTGGTATGCTACTGCCAAGTAGAATGTAACTGTATAACCTGGAAATTCTTTATCCCTGTTATTTTTTTTTGACAGGGCACACTTTTATATGTTGATTTTGTTGGCTGACCCACTCTGTGTTTGTGGCAGGGGTTCCTATAACAGTGAGAATGAAGCCTGCTATTCTTCCTATCAACAGGGCACAGTGCAAGAGGGGTCCTTTCCTGATCCTACCCTGGAGAGCATGTTTAGTTGGTGCTGGAACATAAACTGGCACTGAAAATGTTTGCAGAATAAACAAATGAATGAGTGAAAAAATGAGTAAAAGATAAATGAACAGAAGTAGGTACTGGGCTTGGCATGAAGAAACCTATATTTGGAAGCATTTTTGGCTCCTTGGAGAAAAGATGGTTGAGAAGTTCTTAATTGCCTATTATCCAAAATGAGGACACCAGGATCACACTCCCAATGAGGTCTTTATTAATTTAGGACAGTGGTCTTTACCCTTTGAGTCACAGACCTCTTTTGGAATCTATGAACCCTTTCTTTAGGAAAATGCACATATTGAACATATACACACTTTTTTGTATATATTTAATTTTAGGGAGCTCTGAGTTCCTCCCTCCCACAACTCATTCATGACTCCTAGGTTAAACCTCCAAATTTAGATACATAGAATTTGGCAGTAAAGTGGCAGAATGGAGAAAGAACAGACTAGGAACTAGACTTCAGTTATAGTCCTGCATCTGTTTCTAATTAGCTCTGAACATAATTTTACTTCTCCAGGTTTCAGTTTTCTCATGTGAAAAATGGGGGGATTAGGCTTATTTCTATCCAAAAATTCATCTGGGGTCAACATTCTGGAGGGAGAAGAAGCTAGCAGATTCCACATGAACATCATACCTTCCACCAAGGTTCCTCTGCAGGTTGCCTCCTTGGTACACATTGCTTTCTTTGTACTCTGAAAAGAAGCCTTCTTTCCCTACCAGGCAGCCTCATCTGAACTCTTGTGGTACTAATTTTAATCTAACTAAAAAATCTGTAGAGGCCACAGCTCTCTGGTCATCTCACTTCCTCTTCCTTGCATGGCTCCCTCATAGACATCAAAGAGCACCTCAAACAGATCACCTGGGCAGATGGGAGTGGGGCAGATGTGAGGCAGGCTGGGGAGGACATCCTGAGACTGCCTATTCAGGTGAACAGATTCTAGCTCATTCACTTTCCTCTTTCCTTTATCCTGAACTGGCATGAAACAGAAATAAACAGTTGTAACCACCACAGGGAGGAACTGTGCAATGTGTTGGCTTTATCTATTCTCAGTTCTTTGCCAACTAATCCAGTATGGTACTAATTTAATATTTTCCTTTGTACTACGACTTTACCATGCTTTTAAAAAGTAGGAACTTTGTCTTCAAATACCTGATACTTTTTATTGAGCAAAAATTTTAAAGCAAATCACCCAAAAAGAATATTCAAATATCTTCAGACAAGCCAGGCATAGTTAATAATTAGTACTGTCCCATTCCCATTGCCTACCCCAAGTGCCTATATCCCATTTTTCTAGGTTTAGAGTCTAACCCCAACATCCAGGGCTTGCACCTCCTTTACAGTTGCTCCACTAAATGGTGATCCAGCCTAATTTTGAATGTCCTAAAACGACCAGGAATTAACTACTTTTTTGTGGCAACCTATTTCATCCTTAAATAGCCCTAATCATGGTCCCAAATCTGTATCTCTCTAGCTTTACATCCTGGTGCTACTGTGTGAGATTGACAAGTTAAAAATAATAACGTCTTGAGTTCTCTTTGCCAGGCTTTGCTACAAGTGTTTTCCATGTGTCATCTCACTTAATCCTCACAGCAAACATCACTCAAATGTCAACTCAAAGAGGGCAGATTATTTTTTATCTGATTTGTTCACTCTTGTGTCTCCAATCTCTCGAACAGTACATGGGGTGATATTAGGCACTCAATAAATATTTTCTGAATTTAAAGACATTTACTATTATTACCCCCATTTTACAGATGAGAAAACAGAGATTCATAGAGAACAAGCACTATGAAAGCTGCAGGGATACTTTAATGGAATCTAAAGGAATAAAGATACTATGAGAATACCATTTGTGTCCAAGAGGTTCTGCCTCAGACCACATCCCTAAGGCAGTGCTCCATCTCATCTGTTCCTATGAGGGATATATCCAAAATCTGCTTCTAAGGCTGGAAGAAAGTAGTGTCATGGTCCCAGAATGCCACTTACAACTGAGTGCTGCTTATTTAAAATGGTTCTCAAGGGTCTTGTTTATAGCAGTATGTTGTATAAATAACTGTGGCCATGGAGGATGGCATCTGATGATCTCATTTCTAACTGAAGATTGAGGGGGTAAATGTGGTAGGAAAGACAGGTGCAAAACAAGCAAACACAAACAGAGAAACAAACAAAATTCACAAACTAAACCACAAACACCAAAAAACCTCAAAACTTATGGACTGGAACAATGGAGAGGAATTTTTCCTGATGGTTTCCTATATTTTCTCTGGAATAAACTGTACTTCTTTTAGCCTGAGGAGTCCTAGTGCTACTTGTTGGAACATTGCTGGAGGACTAAACAATACCCTGTTTCAAGTATCATTTTCTTTCTTGCAAACCCCAAGTTCCTTGTGAATTTACATCTTCTGATGAATTTCATGAAGTGAGAGAGTATCATAACTCTTACCTTGGCTTTTCTTATTTTCCTTACGAAGGCCAAGAAATCCCAAGTATCACAGTTTTTTAGTTGACCAGGAGGAAACATTTCTGATGAGTGGAATATTTTCTTTGGTAAACAAACAACAAACACCAACTCAAAACCAACCAAATAAGTTTCTTTGGTAAAGTGGACATTAATGTCTTGGTTGGAATTAAATAAAGGAAAAAAAAAACTTCAAGTGTTTGCTGGAATAATTCCTTCTCTCTTTGTAGCAATTCAAAAAATAAAACTTCATGATGTAAAGACTTAAATTTTATGGAAATGTGATTTTGAGATACTTCTAAAGTGTCTTCTCCATGGTGAGGCTAAACCAATGCTGTCAGAGCAATAATCAGTAGTCAATATTAACAAATAATAATTATCTAATAATAAATAACAAATCTTGACATGCATAGTCCCCCAATAGAAAAAATTCATTTCACAGTCAGAATTTCATAAGCCTTGATTTCAAGTGCTGAAAAGAGAAGTTGACAAGTTTGAAAATGCCCTTCATTTAAAAATACAATATTCTAGGGTATACAGAGACTCAATCAAGTTGGAAAACTACTATCTGTCATAAACCAAAGTTCCATAGTAAGTCGTTCTGGTTGACCAAATTGAATGATTAAATTCTGAACAAAATCCACTTAATTGTTGTGTGTGTTGTGTCAGTTTTGTGGAATCACTTTAAGCTGTGGTGCTCCATGTGGCTGACACTAAATCAATGGCTGATTTAGAACACACTGTTCAGAAAATGATTTAGCAACATGTGATTTAAGAATAAAACCAATTCCCTCTTCACTTGTGTTTTATAAATAATAGCCCAGTTGTAGGCCCCTAGGAGAGAGAATTGATTGAAGATCTATTATGCAAATGCAATCTTGCCCTTTGTGAGGACTGTACTTGTCCTCAGATTAAAGCTCATTATCTTCTTGTTGAGTGTATTTATAACACATTGGTATGATCACTTAGTGTGTCTGCAGGGGAGACTGAACAAGTGTGTAATACACTAGCTACGATCCCTTGCACAGTATTTGGAACTGTATGGAGAACAGTACATGAAACAGAAAGCACAGGTTTCAACGTGGTGTTGTTACATGTGAATCATTTGGGCTTGCTTTTTTTTTCTTTTTTGGCTATTTAGAGAGACAATGGTAAACCTAAATCTAAAACATTAAAAAATGTCTGCCTTATGGCCAACAAAGTCCTATGTTCTATCTTAGAAATGTATTTCAAGGGTGGGGGGGGGGTAAAGCTGTCTTAGGAGTAAACCTAAAATTGATCTGTCCTGTCTTCGGCATGCTGAAATGAGGAAATCCTCTAGGGATATGACCTGGGTGAGTTACTTTGTTCTTCTAAGTCTCAGTTTCCCCCTCTGTGGAGGAGGAGGAATTTGCACAGTATGTCTGCTAAAGTTCAGAAAGGTAAGATGCTTTGGGAAAATACTTACCACTATAGATATCTAAAGAAGCTACATCTCTAAAAGGGAAACATACTGTGGAAGTTTGCCTCAAATGTAACTTGGTTTTAGCTTCAGTTTTATAGATTGAAAAAATGTAGGGGTCTGGGGCAGCATACACATCCTCTTCAGGTCAAACCATTTCTGTTTAAATATATGAACCATTTCTCTTATACATACTATAAGTTAACCATGTAAATATCTGGGCTTGTAAATGAATAGAAGGGCCTGATGATGAAGTAGAGTGCAGTAAAAATGGTGGGTTGGGGGAACCAGAGAGGTGAGGTATGGCCAGTTAGTAGACAAATTTGACTGCTGTCACTGATAGATTTGTATCAATGATCGCTTTTCCAGTAATTTCCATCTGTTTTCCTTTTGTCCCTTTACCTCCCTGCACTTCTACAAAGTTTCTCAGTGTTAGACTTTAGGATTACCAAAGATCTTCCCTCCCCTCTATGTCTCTGAGAAGTCATGTCTCATAGCAAAGGCAGACTGTTACTGTAAGTTGGAAGCTATGGTAGATAACCATTCCTGTGTTGTTTTTCTTTCTTTAGCTATATGTGGGCAGATGTTGTTTCTGGGTATCCATGCAAAAATGCATATAGGGCCAAACTACAAACAGCTGTACCAGATGGCTATATATTTTTGTTATTAAAATGAAGACACTGTCTCTAGATTCCAGTAGCCACCCACTTTTTCTCATCATGCCAGGTATTTGGGTTTGGCTCTGTGGTGTTATGTCCCCATAGCCCCCCTGCCAAAATCTGTAATTAATAAAGCAGACCCATTTGGCGACAAGTGACAAAATATTCCAAAATAGAATTGTCCCAATTCTATGATGTTGGAATTATCATTGGTTTTCAGGTGTATTAAACAAAGTATACAAATGTTAAAAGTGTACCATTGGGGTAATATGATAAATTAATTCTAGACAACCAAAGTGCTTCATCCAGATGATTTTTAAGTGTGATTCAATTTCAATTTATGAGTGATGGTCACTACCATGTCTGCTTCCAAGGCTCTGGCTTGCTTTTGCTGGTCAGAACTTTCACAAGCATCTCCTTAGGTGCTGGGGATCCAGTTGAGACAGCCAAGACCTCAAACTATAGACCCTGGTGAGAAGTACTGCTCTGCACAAGTTTTGGAAGCATTGTTTGGATAATGCTTGAAACTATTTCTGCCTTGGCAGCTGACCTTTCAATCAGTTGCTTTTATCACAATACTAGCGACATCTGCAGAGTGGATAAAACAGGATCCTGCTCATTAATAAGCTTTCTTCTATTTCATCTTAGTTTAAGAATCTCTAAGTCTCCAAGGGTGTGTGTGTGTGTGTGTGTGTGTGTGTGTGTGTGTGTGTGTGAGAATGTGTGTTTAAATTCTTTCTTATTACAACCCTTTTGTTTTAAAGATTGAAAATATGCCATACCCATTACCCCCCTTGTCCTTTATACTTTTTTTTTTTGCAATGCCTGTTTCTTGTCCTTAAAAATGGGAACAACTTTGAATTTAATTGTTTCATTAACGCAATCTCTTTGCTCTTGATAAGACCTAGGGTGAAAATATACCAAACAGACAGTATCACACTGTTGTAATTTGGTCAACCACTCGGGTACTATCGATATCCACCATTTCTACACACTCAATTTCCTCCCGGTTTTCAGGATTTTTCTTCTCTTTCCTTTTTTTCTTAGAGGGTGGCAGGAAAGTCAGTATCACAGGTAAAATGGCAAAGCAGTGAAAGAAGGTGACAAATGCTATTAAAAACAAGCACCTGAACAGTGTACAGGTCAGATTTGAAGGCACAGCTGCAAGAGGAATCAGACCAACAATATAGCAGAGGTAACTCTGTAAAATAGCTACCCCATGTATTTCTAGGGCATTTTTTACCCATTTAGTTCTTGTGAAATCCTTGCCCAGAACAAATGTGGATAACAGTGGAGCACAATTGTCAATTGTGTAGTTAATTCCATAGATTAAGCATAGCACGGAAATGCAGTCCAGTTCTACTTTCCATAATGTCATGAAACCTATCACTCCAAACTCCACAGACACAACCGTTAGAGTTATCCAGACATTAATCAGAGAATCTGCCACCAGGAATGCCGAGAAGAAGAGCAGGAACAAAGCACTGATGCAGGAGTTGTGCAGGGGGGCTCCCAGAGAGGAGGCATATCGATCCATGTACACAAAAGATGGATTAAAGACGATGAACTTCACTTTGGAGGTGACGGAAAGTCTCCTCAGGGTCTCCAAGAGATCATAGAGTTCTTCTCTGTTGGTTTCCATGGTCTTGGCCACCAAAAACATTCTGGAGGCCACAACATCAACTTCATCATTGTACTTTTTAGAGAAGATGATGTCCTCTTGAAAATGCGAAAATTGGGGGGCTTTCAAGAAGGAATTCCTCAACATGTCTGTGAAATTTTTCTTAGTCAAGCCAGTGGATACATTGAGTTTCCGAAGGTAATTTAAGTAGCTTTCAAACCAGGATATCCGCACAAACCCCTTGGTATATTCTAGAACGTCTTCTTGGACACTAGTGTTCCAGTATTCTATGGACTCATATATGTAAAACCCAATCACAGGACTGTAGTTGCTAAAGTACTTTTGCTGGGCAGTAGTATACTCAATGGTTTGTGTCGCAGTTGCTACGATGTTACTAAGGTCTGACCCTTCGCTGACCTGCAGATAGCCCATTAAGGCAAAGGAAATATAAATAAGGTAAAAGAGAACTACAAAAGGCTTGACATAGGTGTTGGTTATCCAGTCACAGTAATAGCGTTTGAGGAAACATACCAATAGGTGACTCTCGTAAGTGTTCGCTTCCTCTCCTTCAGCTGTTTCTTCACTGAATCTGGCTGTCAGGAGGAACCTGTACCATGCCGGCTTCTCCTGCAATACCTCAGGCTTTGGGACTTTTCTACAGAAGATACTATGCTGGTAATTGTTTTCTATGTAGCCAGTGAACACCAGGCTGGAACCATAAAACGAGAGTACATAGAGGTAGTTGAAGAAGATTGCAATACAGGAATTGCAGCAGAAAATCCTGGCTGCCTCAATGTTTGTGAAAGGACTGGCCCCTATGCCAAAGGTGACCAAGTACATGGCAGTGGTGAGAGAAAAGGAGAGCATGGAGTCTGCATAGACTGCTGCAGTTCGCTCCTTAACATGTTGGTCTTCTCTAGTTTTCCTCCAGGAGGATAACATTTCAAAAGTCCCATATAGTCCATGACCTGAGGGGGGCAGAAAGAGACCAGAGCAAAAAGTTTAAAGAACTAATCTCTTTTAAAAGGGGAACCAAGTTGATCATGAGAAATATAACTATGCCCAGGTGGTGGCAGGTATGTAAATGCCAATGATTTCTCCTATTTGGAGAGAGATCAGTGCTTTGATGAATCATAAGCATCAATGGATGTGAACAGGCAGCAGGAGGAGCAAGAATCTTCCTTCATGTTCCCTTCTGGCTTAATAAAGCTGGATGAACCTTTGCCTATAGAAATCTGAATAGACTTATCCCTATGTCTCTTGGGAACTATATACATTAATAGCTTAGGGTTGTTGGCACAGTTTGGCTGGACACTAATCATTCTTTTCTACTCCCATAGGTCTGGCTAGGCATCAGCACAGAAGAGGGTAGTGGTCAGAGGATTCTGAGTTAATGTCCCATCACTTCTTTTAAAATTAGCCAAATAGGGGGCTTTAGTGAGAAAGAGACTCTGTATTTAGTTTGAGTCTTGACAGGAAACTAAATCATAGCCTCTTTTTTTTAATCCTTCCCCAAATATCAGGGCAGGAAGCAATAAATCTGAGAAACAGAGGGAAGCAAAATAAGTAGGAACAAGTTTGAATGAAGAGGAAAGAGGGAAGAATATATAGAAGAAACAAGATTCATATGAACTCTCCCTCCAATTGTTAAAAATTAGAGTTCAGACTGAAGGTTTATGACTTGCATTTTGTCTTCAGGGATTTGTTTGATCAATTTTGGTTGTTCATAGATGACACATCAAGCAGACAGTGACTCTGCTGGCTTTGCTGTACTGTTTGGCAGTGGCCTCTGTGGGAGAGAGCCAGGTCAGTAACCTCTTTCCTTAACTGCTTAGTGCCTCTGCCTCCCTGATTAGTATTCCAGCAACACTGAAATAGCAGAGGTACAATAAGTGTTCATGTTCTGACTCAATTCTTCTCCCTGAGAGATCTAACATGACTTCTGCAACCTCTCCTGGCTGTAGCCAGACACTTCCATGCTGTACCTCTCTGGGTTTCCAGGCCACTGCAGCACTGGAAAACCCACCAGACTGACCTGTTGCAGCTTTCAATAACTCCTGTCTTGGCACTGGAATCAGCAGATCTAATTTTCTGCTTCCATGCCTTGGCATATTCACTCCCATTATTGAGGATAATAAAACCTTTACACTGTGGTACAATAGTCTTGTTTTTAAGAAGGAATTTAAAATATCCAGCCAAGCATAATATGAGTGAAGTGAGTCACTGTTATCTTGTGTGTACAATAACCAAGCACACATCTTCTCTTGTGCTCTGCCTGGTATTTATATTCTTATTGTGAAGTCCTAACCTCAAACTTGAATGCCTATTTCATAGTAATTATATAGACTTGTTTCCTCAGTGGGATTTGGCATTTATCTTAATTTACTAGGAATCATTTTACAGCCACTTTTGGAGTTCAGGTCAAGACTATCAATTTCTTAACTAACACCATGGCCTCTATTAAATTGGAGGCATATAAACTCTCAGACATGAAGGAAAAAGTGCACTTGTTGACTGGCAACCTGTTGTTAATTATGTTTTAGGTAGTTAATGTCTATTCTCAGGAGAGAAAACTATTTATTAAATCTGTTTCCACTGCAGGATGGACCAACTAACTTTTCATTACAAGTAGACCATTCCTTGGCAACGAGTTGATAAAAAGAGTTAAAAATACTTCTGAGGCATCAGCACTCTGGGGAAATGATATTGACCATTTAATATGGAGACATGTAGAGCAAGTAAGCTTTGAAAGGTAAAACACTTCAAGAAGCTGCTGAAATGGCAAATACTTTTTGTAGTTTTTACTTGCTAGAAACAAAAGAATAGTTTAAACAAGGCTGTAATACTTACTCATTAAATATGATAAGATGCACATAGAAGAATTAAAATTAATCATATAGTAGAATTTAAACTAAATCTGTTTTGTAGTCCTTTTTAAAATCAGTGTGATGTTTTATGATGATATTATCTGACTCCGAGTCTTGTTGGAAAACACACTAAGAATCCCTTTCTTACCTCACTGTTGAATAATCTTAGAAGTTAATTGAAAACATAAATTTGAATTAACACAGCTATTAGATGACAAGAGTGAGGCTTGAGGGTCCAGAATGAAACTACTCAAATTCAAGGAAAGTTAGAAATAGGCTATTAATTTGTCTCTTGAGTTGCTGCATTTCAAATGCTAGTCCTTCTATAGTTTGATCTTTTTTTTTAATTGAGTCCTGACTCTTTATGCATGTTTTTAGTTCTAGGGTAGCTTCAAAAAGGATTCTAATTTTATTTCTAGGGACTTTTGGGAAAATGCCTTTCCTTCATTCCTCTTGCTAGGTATATGTGTGCAGATCCTCACAGAGCCCAGAACAGGCCCTGAGAAAGAATCTTCTATCTGATCACTCAGCATTTGCTGCTTATCCTTGGCCTTGCCACCAAAGACCCCCTGCCCATTCCTGATAGTACAGATATTTTTTCTCAAGCACACCTCTCTGGTAGATATATATACCCTAAACCCCAAACTGGAGATGTACAGTGTCTTAGTAGAGCCCTTTGGATTTCTAGGACAATTGCTGATGCCATAACTGAACCTCCATCCTGTAGCTCAGTCAGTCATGTGAGGCATGAGTGCCAACAGCTGCAGGTACCTCTTAGGGATTAACAGCCTAGAGTGCCTTGCTGGCACTAAACCTGGCTCACAGCTGAGTATTTATGCTGAAGAGTTCAGTCTACTACCCTAAAGGAAAACTAAACTGTAAAGACCCTGTTTCTTGGCTTGCACTCAAAGAGAGACACATTCCAAGAACCCTAGGACATGAGAAATACCCTCCTTATCCTCCATACTATTCACTGCCTCCACCCACACACCAATACCCGCTCTTCTGGGAATTATAGCTGAATTCCCTTTGGCCTTCAAAGCTATCCTTTTAAATACAAACTTCTCTTGGAAATGGTCTACTGAAGCAACTTCCCTGTAGGTCTGAAAAATGGGACAGAGAATGGGTATGGGGAAGGAGTGAAGACAAAATGGTGGTGATGGGTACATAGCTCAGTGGTAAAATGCTTGACTAGCATGTGCAAGGCCCCAGGTTCAATCCCCAGCACTGGGGGGAGAAAAGGAAATGGCAGGTGAGAGAATTTCACAGAATAGCCTCTTCACAGTTTTTCCTCTGGTCAGTCTTGGCCTTACTTTAACATCCATCCCAGAAAATGGATAAATCAGTCAAGGCAAGACAGAGAAGAAAATTTTTGATAGTTTCTGTTCCTTTCTACTTTCTTCTCTCAGATGGTGGGTCCCTCCTTCAGCATTTCCATTATCCACAGTACTCTTAACCTTGGAGCTGGAATCCAGCAGGCAGAACTTTGAGGCCAAATATTATAGATGTAGGCAAACATACTGCATGTGGACTGAAGATACTTTTCTGAGGTTTGACTATTGTTTCCCTCACTTTAAAAAGGTACTTTTAAAAGTAAAAGTATTACTGTTTGTTTTGCACTCTAGTTTAAAAAGTTTTCTATGAAGTAGGAGATCTATAAGATTCTCTGTTAAATCTGACTAAGGGTCCTATATCATTGGCACAAGGCATCAGTTGTGACATCTGTCCCAAGTCTGTTCACAAGGATTTCCTAGTAACTGAGTTTACAGAGATAGGCATGGGAAGCTGCCTAAACACAAAGTTCCAAGTAGATTTTTATGTTGGTGACCAGGGGCTCTATGGTGGTAATGGAAATCATAGCTCATTATCAAGGGGGTAGGTCACAGCTAGAGATTGGAAGTAAAAGACTATATTATAGTGAGGATTTCAGGACCCATCATATCTCAGGATATTCCTCCTCTTACAGTCATAGTAAAAGCTGATATGTTGCCAAAGGGAACTGTTAAACAAAACATATGTAATCTATCAAATTTTGAAGATAGAGACTTGCTTGTCTTTTAAAAGCACATTCAGGATGTTTTTATTTTTATTACATGGAATGTCTGTATTGTTATGTACATTGGAACACATGCATATCACTATGCGTTAGGACACACACACTCACAGATTCAAGTTCTAGTTATTCATGAGTGATTGCTTTGACGCATCATGGGCTTTTAGCCAGGCCCTGGGGTAAGGATCGTAGAGCTCTTCACTAATGTTCAGATACAACTTGTATCAGAAATACGATTTTAAAAAGGAAACTGCTTTTATTAATTTTATTAGAGATAGACTTTGGGACTGCCATCTAGTAAAATCAAATGCTAAAGAATTCAAGCTATAATTTTTCTTCTTTTCAAAGATACTTTTTGTATCTGTATGTGCAGTGAACTTTGAGGCTTTGGAGCTAATGAAAAGAAAAAACAGCACAGTTGATAATTAACATTGCTGGTGGAAGAAACTCAACTAGCTAATCCTCCAGTCACTTAGGGAAACTCTCCAGCAGACTGACAGATTAAATCTCTCTCTTCACCCAGACGCTCTTCTGGGGTCTAGCCAAAACCTTCAGGGTTGTTTATTAATCCACTAAGGCAGGAATCCACTAACAAATAGTCGAGAGTTAACCTAACTTTACCCAGCAGACACAATTGTGGAAAGTTGTTCATAAAGTGAATTGCGTTTTAAATTTATTTAATGGTTTTGCTATGAGAGGCAGTTTGGGTGATTTGTTTTGTCAATGAATATCCATAAGCAAATTGATCTAGTTTGTATATCTGGATTTTGCAGGTATGATTTTTCTTCAGGCTCAGATTCTCCCACCTTCCCCAGTCCACAAAGACATAGCACAGAGGCTGATTGATGCCTTGTGGTGCTCTGCACATTTTAATCCCTTTCCTACTCGCAGGATTTCCTCAGCTTGAATGGCTGAGAAGATGAGGATGTGAAGTGAGATGGCTTGCTGATGGATGATCTCTCAGTTTCAGTTCAAAAACATTTAATATCATGAGACAATGAAGCTATTTATAGCATGCCTGGGGGGTACTAAATTTTCACACATGGAA